GTATTATCGCCCCCAGAGCCCCAGTATTCTCAGATGTATCTAGGCCTTTGCTAGGAGTGAGTGTTACTGCTGTTACAACAGCTTTTAAAACACTCAGGACCAAAACTGTGCCCTGATATGGAAAACTAACATTGCACAAAGCAGTGTAAAGAATACTGTGTGTATTTGCCATTTCCCCCCTTGCCCTCAAATTTCATAAGTGTTTGCTAAACACGAAAGAGTCTGAAAGTTTTTGTTTGGCTTTTTCAGTAAAGTTAAGGGAAATATAATTTACTCTTTAATATCAGTCTAACACAAATTAAGTGGCACTTCATAATAACCTGAAAATAAACTATGCACCTCATACTACACACTTAAAATCCTTTCTCTTATTTCTATGCTGGAATTAGTACACAATTTATGCTTTTCTGATATTAAGAAGATGCTTTAAGCTAAGAAAGATCATCCAAAGGCTACAGAGCTGTGTAACCATTACTTATCACCTCTTTACTATCTGCCAGGTTCTGCGGCCAAAGGCACAAAACAACAACGCCTCAGGTTTACAGTAAATGTAACAGGGTTCCCTTTCCTTCACTCTCATTTGATTTGTAAACAAAACTAGTTTTAAGACCAACATCTGACCCCCTTCAGAAATAAATATGTATCTCAAAGATACATAGTACGAGCCACGCTCCTCCCCGTCCTCAAAACAGGACTGAGATCTTGCATGCTCTTCCACGCTTTTCCTGTGCAACTACAAATCAATATGAACACATGTTTTAACTCCTCCTTTACACAAAGTATTTTACTATATGCTCCATTTTGAACTCTGAGTTTTTAAAAAATAACAACCTCTGAGGGAAAATTTTCCAAATCTATATCTCGAGAAGATGCCCATAGTCTGCTTCGTTAACAGCTATAGAGTATTTCATGGAGCAGCTCCGTCACAGCTCACGGCAGTACCTCACTGACCCAGACGCTAGGGACATTTCCAGCCTCCTGCCAGCATGAACAGAGCGACGTCGTATGTGAGTGTGTAACCGCACAAGTACGCCTGTCAGCAGGTCCCAGAACTCACAGTGGGACAAAGGTCTGCGCATTGGTTGTTTTCTAGAAGCTGCCATTTCCCTTCCGCGCAGCTGTGTCTTTAGACACTTCCACCACGGCCACCTGTGCTCCCGCCTGGACAGAACGACCCCCTTTGCTGAGTCTGTTCTCACGGCGCTGTCAGAGATTAACTCACTGGAATGAAGCACACGCAGGCCTTGTTAACTCTTTCCCGAACACATCTGTAACATTTGTTGGTTTAGTAAGTTTAAAAGCACATGAAGTTTCAAATCTAACTCTTCCCAACACAGTACTGATGCTACTGCTGGGACCGCAAGTTTGTCTTCCCAATAGCTCTTGTGGCCTAAAAACAAACATACTCCCTATTCTAGGTTTTTCTGAAATTTCGCATTCAATAGTTTATAATTAGATATGCAATCAAAAGAACCTTTCACTTTCAAGTGTCTTCCTGAAAAATTGACGTTTGCATAAAAATAAATCGACGTTACTTCTGTATTTCCCTTCAAAGCTGTGCTTTCAAATGTGCTTTTAATTTTTATGGCTCCTGTTTTCACTAGGCAGTGTCACCTAAAACATTTTCATTTCCATTCTCGCCCTGTCAGTAATTAGAAAATGGACACAGAAGTCTGTGGGACTTCCTATTTGCCAAAATCCTTAAGTGTATCCAGTTTCAGTTTGATAAAAACTAAATGTGTAAGTAAACACATAAATGATCATTTTTATTCCTCAACTAAGGACAACAGTACCTACATAATCTCTTGCATTTCAGTAATTCAGAAATCAATTATGAGGCCATCTCAGTACTCTGGAATAAAGTGAACAGACTAGCCACTGTCCAAAATACATTTTAAAAAACTGCTACATATTCTGTGCTCCCAGTCAATAGAAAGGACAAAAACCTTTCTTAAATTCTCACAAGGCAGGAGAATACACTGACAACACACCGACAACAAAAGGCAGGAACTACCAAAGAAAGGTAAGGCAAAACAAAGCAAAAACACATCACAGGGAGCACCTTATGTAAAAGCGTCTCGGTTTAGGACAATTTAGAAGAAAACAGTCTGACAGGAGATAATGGCTCCTGACAAAAATCACTTTATTTTAATTCTGTCAAATGACTGATGCTCACCATGACAACATTAAGCCATTAAAAAAATTTAAAAAACAAACCCTGAAATGTATTCAATTTGAAAAAACGGAAGTGTGAATTTTATATTTTAGAAAAATATTCATATAAAACAAATTAGCCACATAGGACTCAATTACCCAGAAAAATAACAGAGGAGGAAGGCACCATGTAACACTCCAGCCAATGAGGAAATACACAAAGTAAAATTTCTCATTTAAAACTGACATATACTAATGCAGCTGCTTTGGAAGATGAGCCGGGATGCAGTGCACTAACACTCCGGGGTTTGAAGACACAACTCCTTGTGCTACCCAGTTCTTGCTTAACAGCCAGGAGAGTATCTGGTAATTTTTGAAAGCTGTTCAGGCAGACTGGCAGTGGAATGACTGGAGCACTCAGGAAAACATCCTGCCTTCTCTCTATTTCCTCCGAGTCGGGACTGCCATGTGCACAGCCTGGGCTGCTTCTGGCTCTAACTTGCTGTCCTCCATCAAGCCACTCCACCTCGTTAGCCTCCAGCACAGTCGTAGTGAAGCGAAGGGCTTGTAGGAAGTGCAACATGCTAGTGAGCAGAACAATGCGCTAATTACTTTATTAGGTCCTCTGCCTAAATCTGTACTACTTCTCCATCTATCTATACGTAGTCTAAATTACCTTGGGCTATCTATTACCGTATATCTAAAGACTACAGTACTAAAAGAAATTACAATCACTTCAGAATCTTTTCCAACATTCAATATTAGGTACTGTCAAGATACTGTGCAACCAATTGATTATGTAGTCATTTAATTTAAAATACCACTGTATCCAACTATCTTCTATTAAATATTTTCCAACCTGAAATAAATAACTTGTCACTCGACATTTGAAAAAATGGTCTATAACCAGGTTATTTTTTAAAGAACGGTCATAGCAGCACCATTTACAATGGCCAAACAGCAGACACAGCCCAGTTACCCATCAACTGTAGAATGCCCATGTGACTACACAGAAGACACTGTGAAATGGAGTCCTGAAAATACGTAACATTCCATAATGAGGAACAAGAGGCAAGATGTAAACCTACTGCTTAGGACACAGATGAAAGCGATAAAATTACATAAATTATTACCACAGAAGGCTGAATAGTGGCTACACTAAAGAAAAGGGAGACGAGGTCAAGAACTCTTGAAACGCCCAAGATACTCTGTTTACCATATGATTATAATTACTCATTATATTCCATATTTCTATAATGTTATACTTTACAGTAAGTACATTTTCTGAAACAATATTTGTATGTTCTCATCCAGCTGGCAGGAAGTTCTTCTCTTTTTGCTAATAACAATTTTAGTTTTTGCTATATATTTCAATTTTTATTGTAATATTTTAATAACAAAGAAATGTTACTATGATTAATTCTCCAAATCATAATTTTCATGTGATTGGGTATGGTGGTACACAATTAATCTCAGCTATTCACGAAGCTAACAGGTGTATTAAGAGTCAGAGGCCAGTTTGGGCAACTTGGTGAGGCCTTGTCTCAAAATTAAATGGAAAAAAAAGGGGGGGAGCGGTAGAACATTTACCTAGCACGCACGAATCTCTAGGTTCCATTTCTAGGACTGCAAAAGCAAAAGGAAAGAAGTCACCAGCACCACCACCACCAAAACCAGACCTTTAAAGGTTACATGATCAATTATATTGCTTAATCTGTGCTTATGTGATCAGTGTTATTTCTCCAGTTTTATCTTTTCAAAAAAAATGTATACTTATGTATAATAAATTCCAGTAATAATGTTTTGCAGTCTGCTATTTTAGCCTGTAGGTAGGAAGAAGCGTATTTTTATCTCTTACGCTTTAAAAAATAACTTTGGCAGCATTTGTATATGAGCAAATATAATCTGAGAGACCATGACAGGCCAGTCACTGCACACTGAAGCCCAGTGCAGTGTCACTCTGGACCAAAGTATGGTTCACTGTGTTCTAGAAGACATGATAACTAGATTATGGGGTGGATATACAAAACAAGTTACATTTAAAGTCCACTGTACGGAGGCTGAGGCAGGAGGATCGTTACAAGTTCAAGACCGGCCTGGACTACAAAGTGAGCTCAAGGCCAGCCTGAATTGCATAGTGAGACCCTTCCTCAAAAAGTCATATGAAGTCCAATGTATAAAATGTAATATGGGTCAATGCATGAAAACAGATGCAACATGACCTAATTTAAATTACTGTGAAGCAGTTTGAAATATTTCCTTTGGAAAGAGAGAGCCATAGGGAGTTGAAATTAGTACAAAAATGCCATCACAGTAATAGTGAACTGAGTCCATTACCAAAAACTACACAGAATGAAGGAATCCTAAAAGGCTTACCACCTATAAGTTACTTCAATGTATGTCTGCTACACTTTTTGTTTTTTTTTTGGGTTTTTTTGGTGCGGGGGTGGTAAGGATCTTGGGGCTTTGTGCATGCTAGGCATGTGCTCTACCACTGAGTTACATCCCAGCCCCAGACCATAACTTTTTCACATGCCACCAAGTAGGAAGAGATGATGAGATTTGGAACAACACTATCACCACTCTCAGCGGGCTCTACTCTATCAACACGATGGCACTGGTACAGCACTATTACCTTAACAGGGTTTCTTCTGCTATATACTGTTTTCTTATCAATGCAGCCAAAGATTCCTCCCTTTAGTGGGTCCAGCCAACCAGTTCTTTGCTCATCTACTGTCAATCTTAGAAAATTACATTGTGTCCAGCAGGGAGCAGCATTACAACAGCCTTGAGACCTAACTTGAACATGAAGCTGACAGAAGAAAAAGGACAAAAAACCCACTTACCCTAGGTCTCTCTGCTCCACAACACATTCAAGTTTTAGGATGGTTGCAGGACTTCCAGAAAAAAAATCTAAAGCATGTCTCAAAGCACACGTGGGTAATCCATGGCTTCAGGACCCTAAAGCAGGAAATCAAAATGGTATCAGGTAAAGACTTCTCTGGTCCAAGTTGAGCTGAATTAATATATACTGTGAGTGAATGTTTCTCCGTTAACTGCTAAGATAAATGTTCCTCCTAGTGGGTCAACAGGATTCTGAACTTGCACATTCAATGACACTGGATCAAAATGAAAAAGAAAAAAAACCTATGAATTTTAAAGTCCTTTATCCCCCACAGAATTTATGTAGACGAAAGAAAATGGCTGATATAACAGATACTAAGATCTCAATCTACCTAGAAAGAACTGTGGTCAAAGAATTAAAGAAGCTGATAAATCAACCATACACACTTCTGAAATATATCAGTCTCTTGTAGACGACAAATTTTCAAGCAATAAAGAGGGTATATTCACTTCTACGTCAGCATGAATATCAGGTTGCTTTTAAGAATGAAAAGGCAACAAAGAAGTAGTTTATACTGCTGGTGCACAAGAATGATTGTTTACAAAATATGAAGACTGCACATGATACTGTAGAAAAAGCTCATGAATTGTTATAAGACAAAAGCAAAACATTATTTTTATACTGACTGGAATATCAAAACCTGCCTCATATTCAACTACAACTGTACATGACTTCTTATGACTACCAAAAAAAGTTTCACCTCCATTTGTTTAAAATATTAAGCAGCTTGCTTTGTGTGTTTACATGTGACATTTCAGTGTCCACATCAAAAACCAAATTTCTGCTTTTAAAAGGTAACATGAATGTTCACCTTTACATATATACATAACTGGATAGGTCTTATTAACATATTAGTATATATGACAATGTATTATATAAATATTTACGTGAAATTTAATGAATAAAACGTAAGAGGATTCCCACAGTTTTCTTCTAGCAGTGACACAAGCAGCTTGACTTGAGTGGACACGTCGAGGCTACAATGACTGCAGTGACTGTCACCAATCTGACTGAGGCGGAAGGGCAACGTGACACTTTCATCTCCCTTCAACAGGAAGCTCTCCAGCGCACTCTTTCTCAGGGTTTTTCTCCCCAGGCTCTTCCTCCAAGCCTGTCTCTGCTCCGAGCTTCGTACGTGTCACTCTTCTGACATTTCTTTCTTCTTACCAATCTGATTTTGTCTCACTGGTAATGCATTTCTGTATCAACTCCAATATTTGTTTTAGACATATTTCTCCCTTTTAATCCTACTACTTTTCCCCCTTTCATGTTAGGATTTTTACTTAAAAGTGAGTTTTCTCTCTGTAACAACCCACTTAAATATATTCTTTCATCTGTTTACCTGGCTGAAAGACTCAACTAAATACATTTCATATTGCTCCTATTCATACAAATACTTTCTGAGTTATTTTTTTTTTTTTTTTGGTTTTCCTCCGGTACCGGGAACCGAACTCACGACCTTGCACTTGCCAGGCAGGTGCTTTTGCCGCTGAGCTAAATCCCCAGCCCCCTTTCTGAGTTATTTAAATATTTGAACATCTAATGAAACATTTTAGAGTTGATCTTGAGACACTCAAAAAACTCATTTGACTCATTCTAATGAAACTGGAGACAACTTCTATTAATAAAGAGGTGATTTAAGATATTACTATGTTGATGTGAAAAAATGCTGAGAAACAAACTTCAAGTCAACAAAATTTTAGAGATGTTTATTCACATGTGTACAGTACATACTCGTGAACAGAATATCCCCAATGCTCCCTACTTCTAACATATGTTATCAAGTCTGAGAAGAAAAGTGGTTTCTCAACTTAGCCTGCTCTAATATAAATATTAATACTAAGTGTATTACTACCTTGTAAAACAATCTCATAAAAATTATAGCTTCCAAAAATTTTCTATTTATAGAGTATACAACATATTTAATTACCTAAAAATTGGACTGCAGTGGGTTGCATCTTGCCCTCTGCAAATCCACGTCCACCTGGAACCTTAGAACATGGCAATATTGGGATAGTCTTTGAGTATGTAATTAACACAGTCACGATGGGCTATGACTCATTGTCTCACTGCTGGCAGGCTTGAACTACCAGTAGTACATGCATGATGTTTCACCAGGTGGCTTTTTATTAATTTTATTTGTAAAATTTTATTCTAGCTCTGTTTGTACCACTGGTGGTACAAGCCGCCCAATGGCATCATCATGAGTGTCCCACTGGTGGCTCAAGCCTATGGGAACTTGTTAGAGTAGGACCAGCACGAACTCATCCCAGATTAGAGTAGACCTACATCTGACGGAAGAGAATGTTCTTGCGTAAGGCAGAAAGGACACAAAGGGACAGCAGAGAGGCCAACCTGAAAATGGAGGCAGAGTGTGATGTTCTGGTGTCACCACCATGAGGAACAGGGGCAATCAGAAACTGGAGGAGGCAAGGAAGGATCCTTCCCTAGAGTCTCTGGAATGAACATGGCCCCGCTGACATCACGATGTCAGATTTCTGACCCCAAAACTACGAGAAAATAAATTTCTCCTGTGCCAAGCGAGGACATTTGTGGTACTCTGCATGGCAGTGCTAGGAAACAAACACAAACTTTGGTAACAGGAAGTAGGTGCTCTGCTACCCGTATCAGAAAAACCCTGCAACACCCTAAAAAGTCTATTGATAGAAACAGAAAGGTCTAGACAATTCCAAGAGTTGGAAAGAAGTGAAGAGTGACAGAGAAAAAAGTCCTGGCCAGGAGCGGTGGCGCACGCCTGTAATCCCAGCACTCAGGAGGCTGAGGGAGGAGCATCACTGTGAGTTCGAGACCAGCCTGGGCTACTAAGTGAGCACAAGGCCAGCCTGAACTGCATACAGAGTCTCTGTCTCAAAAAGACAAAGTAAAAAGTCCTATTGCCTTAGAGAATATACTGTCATGAGTAGAATGCTGGAAGAAATACAAACATTCAAGGGCTGATGGTGAGGTTGTAAGTGTAAGAGGAGAAACAATCCTGGTTACAGGGTGACAGAAAACCTGGTTGGGGTGTGCTTTCTGCTGCGGGGAGCAAAGGACACCTGGTGAGCAAGGCACCTGCATATGTAGCTGAGGAGGTTTCCAAGCAAAGTGTTATAGGGACAGCCTGCTCTCTCCTTTCTGCTTAGAGTAAAACATGAGACAAAAGAGATGAACTGAGATAGCAAAAAGTAATCAGCATCTTATAATTTTGAAAATCCTCAGACTAGGGCTGGGGATATAGCTCAGTAGCACAGCACCTGCCTGGCAAGCACAAGGTCCTGAGTTCAATTCCTGGTACCAAGAAAAAAAAAATTCTCAGACTATGTAGATCACAACAGATGCTAAAGCATACCCTGGAGAAATGGACGAGGGCATGGGGGGGGGGCAGTCTCTTCCTAAGAGACTGTCTGGCATGGCAGTGCATGCCCATAATCCCAGCAATGGGGGATAAGACAGGAGGTTCAACAATTCAAGGCCTCCTTGAGTTACATAGGAAGTTCAAGGCCACCCTGATATACATAACAAGACCCTGCCTTAAACAAACAAAAAAGAAAGAGGAGAAAGGAGATATAATAAAAGGGTTATAAATAATAACCAAACAGGATTTATTCAACATATGAAAATCAATCAATACCATAGAAATGAAAAAACCTACAATCATCTGAATAGATGCAGAAGAGGCATTTGGCAAAATTTAGTACTCTTTCATGAAAAAAAAAAATCACTCAACAATATGGGAATATTATTGGGTTTTTTTCTTTAAAATAAAATTTAAAACTTTTGAAAAGCAATATAGGAATAGAACAAAACTTGCTCAAGTAAAATAAAACACATGAAAACCCCACAGGTAATACATACTCCATGGTAAAAACCTGAAAACATGTCCAAGATGAGGAACAAGAGAAAGATGCTCACTTTTGCCTGTTCTATTCAGCACAGCACTCAGTATTTTAGCCATAGGAATTAGGTAAGAAATGGAAATAAAAGGCATCCAACTTAGAAAGAAAAAAGTAAAATTGTCTCTGCTTGCAGATCTTATGTATAAAAAACCCTTGTTATGGTTTATGTCTGTGTGTCCCCCCAAAGCCTCATGCACCCATGGGGCAGGCTTTTAGAGTTTGATTATGGGTGTGAGAGCTGCACCCACCCTGGGGTGGATAGTTTGCATATGTAAGGGAGAGGAAAAGAGTGCTTGAGGCCATTCCTCCCCCATTCCTGGCTGGTGTGTGCTTGTTGCTTTTGCTGTTGTCTGCCACCCTGAGCTGTACCTCTCTGCCATGTGCCACTCTGCCTTATAATCTGCCAAGTACAAACTGAAACCTCCACGAACTGTAAGTGAAATAAACCTTTCCTTCCTTAGTTTTGGATGTCAGGTATTTTGTCCCAGCAGCAAGAAAAAAGTAACCAAGACAACCCTAAAGAGGCACAAAATTATTGGAATAATTAATGCAACCAATCAAAAGGACATAAAGTCAATATACAAAATCAGTTGTGTTTCTATACACCAACAAACACACACTTTCATCATAGCATTAAAAAATAAAATGTAGCAGTAAGGGAAAAACAAAAGAAGGTGAAAATACAAAATATTTTAGTAGTATACTGAAAATACAAAATATTGCAGAAAGAAATTTCAAAAAGACATAAATGAATGGAAAGGGATCTTTCCAAAAAAGTGGAAGATGGGCCAGGCGGTGTGGCACATGCCTATAATCCCAGCAATTGAGAGGCTGAAGCAGGAGGATCGTTGTGAGTTCAAGGCCTGCCTGGGCTACAA